GGAGAAGGCAGAAGTAAATAAATACTGATTATTGCCTACCCCTTCATTACTTCATTATTAATTAAATCAGAGAAATACACACATAGTTCATCAACAATATATTAGAAAATATGTTTTTATTAACTTTAGGCGATCGTTGTTCTTGCTATAGTGTCATTCATTTCAATAAATAATTACATTCAAAACCACAGTGAGTATTTGATCTGAATGGGTCTGAACAAAATAGTGAAATGGCCACTTTGTGCAAAGTTCGGTCTCTCAGACGGGTCACATAGTTGTAGGTATTAAACAGTAGCTTATTACAGGATCACATTCAACTCTACAATGTGGATTAGCAGTGAAACAAGACTGAGAATCTATACAAACTACCTGCAGTCCACAATACTTGTAATATATTTTAATGTCTAGAAGTGGGGACGAAATTATGAATTATGATCATCCAGAGATTTTTTTTATTTTTTAACTTAAAATCTAACTCTAGGCTCTGTTCCAGACCGGTTGCTCCAGCAGATTGGGTTTGGGAATTTTCGATCAAATGTAATTGCAATTTGGACAATACGGAATAACCACTGCATACATATCGTTCTTGCTCTTGCTAACATTTCCAAGTTTGGCATATGTGTACAACTCACTCAGATCTCTACATGACCCCAGGATTGTGCTCGGCTGGCACAGTCTCTTTCCTATTCCCCACGACACAGGGTGAAATTACGAACACCTTCTTTCTCACTGTGGTTTTGAATGCATGATCAGCAGAGATTTGATAACACAGGTCACAACATCACACCTGCTTCTCCATGGCGGCAGTAATGCAAACAGGATGCTGAGTTTCAAAGGATGAATCACAATGGGGCTGGAGACCACACACACCTGCACCAAGCCTCTCCGGAGTCTATGAAATGCTTTGTTTGATTTGTGTCCTTGGTTCAACTTATACGGCAGAAGGCCCAGAGCAAGTTAATGAACGCTGAACACTTTTTTTAATGTTGGATTTGGCCTGCTATTGCTCATTAATTGCTAAAAATTCCACTTTTTCTCACGCAGACCATTAAATCTAAGCACTTGGGCATATCCTCATCTGGCTGCAGGTGAAAGAAAATCTTCGGAAGCTATAAAGTTTTAAAATTCAAATGAAACTTTATTGCAATTCAGTTGAAATCCAAGAGCAGCCTATATATTTATATTTATACAAAACAGAGCAAAATTAAGTCAGTCAACTGGTCTATTCAAGTGCAGGTAGCAGCTGTGTTAGAAGTTTGTTTTACAGTGCTGCTTGAATGGTATATTACACACTCACGCCCTGTGCCAAGACGTGTTAAACTCCAGCCTTCACAAGTGTCAGAAAGCCACTGTAAGCACGCGTAGATGTGCCAAAATGCTGTAGCTACAAGCCAGCAAGCAACCAGCAGTGATCACAGCAAAACTAACATGTCTGTACAAGGTCACCGCTGTAGCCTTTTGGGGTGCTTCTAGGCCAATTTTTGTTTTTCTGAACGCAGACTGGGTTACTTTAATTCCTGGCACAGATTACTTTGCAAGCCAGAGCCTGCAGATATCTGCTGCTGGACATTTTGTGCATGGAGAGACCACCTGCGCCTAATAAGCCTTCAAAACATATTTACGCAAGACTGGCCTACTGTATATGTGGGAAGGTCAGCTTTTAAGTAAAAAAAAATATCCACTGGTGCAAAAATGTGAACATTTCAGTACATTAAAGCTGAGGGACTCAACTTGTTTTTGTTTCAGAAATAATCCATTTGTTTGTCCAACAGACCAATTATTATAAACTTATTCAAGTTGATGAGACATAGGCCAAACAGAGGTGCATGTGGGAACTAGTTATAGAACCAAAATATTTTAGAGCCAGGACCGAGTTAGCTGGATCTTATTAGTTAATTTACGAGTGGTTTGAAAGTTAGGTACCTCAGCTTTAAGGGAGCCGTCGTCAGCAGCGCATGAATGAGGGGACCTTTGGGAATAAAGAGCTTTTCATGTATGGACAAATAAACAGTGCAAAACCAAAACACAAATTGCCTACAAGCTTGGCCCAATGTCCCCTCTGAGTGTGCACACTGATTTTTAAGACGCATTTTCAGACCAACAACTTTTAAAAAGCCCCTAGAGTAATGCGTAAAAGGTAATACATAAGTGCACATGCAGCAACGAGGAGGCATCTTATCCATGTTTAATTATGCGTAAAACACAAACACAAACACTCCTCTCACCTCACCTCAACAGATTATAATCCTTTAGTTCAAAGTAAAATCCCGCGCGTGTAGCTCCACTGATGACACGAGTGCGGCGCGCCTGGATCTGTGCGCACTGCTCCACCTGGACGCAGCGCTCATTAAAAGTGAAGGAGCAGGACGGAGCCAGAGCTTCTCCCCCTGCTCCGTCTCTCGTCCGTCCCACTTGTGGTTTTGGGAGAGGGAGAGAGAGAGAGAGTGAGAGAGAGAGTGAGAGGAGGCGAGCAGAGTCCCGGGGCGATGCGGAGAGATGCAGAAGGGCGCATCTGTGGTCGTGGTTGAGCAGCATCCATAATGTGGTGGTTCTGTGGGATTCGATTCGTAATGGTTTTGAGTCGAAAACAGATTCAGATGTTCTTCATGGAGACCCGTTGGGTGATCACTCAATTCGATTATTTTCAATGATTGGGTTATTCATAAAGACATAGGGTGTTATTCAATTACAACTGCATCTTCAATTCGTCAACAACAGAATACGTCAACCGAAAAAGTGTATAACTTCAAGCCGTAAAAAGAGCAGTATTTGCAACTTCACTCAATCTAAGGCTGCATTCAGACTTGTTGGTCTGGTCTAAGTCTGGGTCAAGTCTGGTTCAGGTCTGGTGGCTATGGGGAGGCTGCATTTCAGAATCATGCAGCTACAATCTGGAACAATCTTCCTGAAAATGTGAGACAGGCCTCCTCTCTGACAATGTTTAAATCCAGGTTAAGAACCGTTCTGTTTAGCTGTGCAGACAACTGAGGGATTTTATATTTTTTATCTTTCTTTTAAATGTACTGTAATTTTTTTTTTAATAATTTTAATGCTATCTTGTTTTGTTCAGCACTTTGAGTTGCCTTGTATGAATTGTGCTATACAAATAAACTTGCCTAGCCTTGCCTTGCCCATGGCATTAAATAAGTTTAATGCTAATCTGCTCTTGTGATTTAGGGATTTAGAAAAACAAATTGAATTGAATTGAATCCACCACCAAAAATAAAGCATGGCGCACTGTAAAGTTTAGTTAGAATTCGCAATCTTTTCTTTAATCATACAGGGGTTATCTTTCAGTTTTACCTTGAACTGGGTTGCCCCTCCCAAGTTGAAAGGTAAGTTTTCCTGGAGTGGAATGCTTTGAGATTATTCCAGGACCCACCACCACAAAAGTTCCACCCAATGAAATCTATGTGTGACTAACTATGTATAAATAGATATACACAGTTATAAATGATCTACCTATCTCTTATCAGTATAATATTGCAGGCGCAGCAAAGCGGATTAAAACCATCTTCTCCTTTTCTTTCATTGTAATTTGAAGTGAAGACAGATTCTGATATCACATGTGGAGCAAAGTAACAGGAGAGGTGCTGGTATGAAGAGGCCTGAGGATTAAATCAAGAAGTAACTGCTCTCACAATTGTGGGATGAGCTCAGGACACTTCAGTGCTTCCAGATGCTCCCGATTACCCACAGCATCCCAAAACTCCTTTCACTGAACTGTCTCTCATGGGAGATACTCAATATGTCCCAAGCGTCATGCACTTTTTTAATCATCATGGAGTTGTCAGCAGCAGCCACACTCTTTGCAATGATAGCAGTATTCTACAACAATGTTCAATGCTGGTATAAGTAATGAATGACAAGTGAAAAGAACAAGATATGCGTAAAGAAATAGCTATAAACAGAAGTTAGATTTGGTTTAGGATGGGCAGCTTTTGTGACCTTTCCTTTGAGTCTCTTTATAGACCCTAATTGTCTCATTACTGGGCAGTGGTTGAAATCCTCCCACTTTCACTCATGGCTTCATAAAGTCTCAAATTCCCAACAGACGACCTGAAATATAGAGGTGGTATCAGAAAAAACCCACTAACATATAAATACTGCAAATACAATTGTGTCTGTTTGAGGATAAACACTGAGGAAGGAGAATTGATGACACACATTGATGCGTTTTTACATCATATGAGCCATGTTCAAATAAAGACTTTTTATATTTACGCCGACTTGTGCAATATAAATATAGTGGATTGGACTGGATTCACCGTAAGAGTGCCTTGGAGTGTGCTTGTGTGTCACGCATCCATGCAGCGCTTCCTCTACTCTATATAAATACTGCACATACTTTTTCCATACAGTCAACCATTTCAAAGCTATGTGAAAGAAAGTTGCGCGGCACATGTTCATACATAAGATTATTAAAGCTGGGGTATGTAACTTTCAAACCACAATGTGTGACTATATGTAATGCAGCGGAGTAAAACCGGTTCCAGAAAGGGCTGGTTTGGATGCAGGTTTTAGGTCCAACCTGAGCAGGAGCACAGCAGACTCCACCAATTTCCTCACATTTTCAGGCTAAAACTGGACTCACCGAGAAAACGAGAGGAGTCTGGTGTGCTCCTGCTTGAGTTGGAAGTACAACCTTCAGCCACACCGGCGCTTTGAGGACCGGTTGGCACCCCTGATTAAATAATGACTTAGTGGGCTAGTTCTGTCGATAAAAGATCAAGGTCTGATTTGTTCACAACATTTTACATTGTAGAAAAAAAGTTATGTAGTGGTTTGACTATAATTGTGTTCTGTCATTTATAATACACAAAACGTATTGATTTGCTGTTAAGTAATATTAACAACAACAATAGTGTAACATTATCCACACGCACAATTTATTCAGTAATTTCACATTTTTACATCATTTATGAACACAATTAAGACCAAAATATACAAAAATACTGTTTATATTGATTTGAATTCAAGTATATCTTCAGGAGCAGGCCTCAGAGCCGGTCACACACGTACTCAGAAGTCTCGATGTGGTCCGGGACTTTAACGTAGTAGATTTCCTGAGGCCCTGATGGCGGGGTCTCGGGGGGGCTGTTCACTCCCGAATCACTGTCCTTTCTGCACTGCACCTTTTCCTCCGTCTCGAATCGTACTTCCTGCTTTTTGGCACGAGCGAGAATGGACACGGGCTGGGGCGTGGCGTCACCTTTACCTTTCATGTCCTTAAACCTTCGCAGCCGCACCACATCTTTGCGTTCTCTGGAGCAGGGGATGAGGACCGACACGTCTTGGCGGAATTTGGAGCTCATGCCGAAGTAGATGAGTGGGTTGTAGAAGCTGGCGGACTTGGCGAACATTCGGGTGATGATGCTGGTGGTGTTTGGCACTTGAAATCCCCAGGCCGACCACATGGACACCACCGCATATGGAGACCAGGCCATGATGAAGGCAGTGCAGATCACAATGGAAATCTGCAAAAGGAGGAGAAGAGGAGGCATCAGGGAGTGATTGTCACCAGTGGAAATTTGAGAAGCTGAAAAACCGCGTTAAAAATTGAGTTGTAAATTGTGTCTCTTCTTACGCTCACATCAGGGGAAGGTGCTGGTGCAGGAAATAATGGACAAAGCAACTACTTAAAGCTGCTTAAAGTCAAGAGAATTCAAATGTGATAAATAATGAGAACAGCTTTTTAGTTATTGTATTTACTGACCTCTATTTAACCAGGAAAGCCCCACAGAGATTTCAGAATGTGTTTTTCAGGGGCGTCCTGGGCGCTACTTAGAAGAGTTGGTGCTATACAAATAAATGTTGGTTAGAAGAGTGATTTTTGTTTGTGTTGACCGAATTGATAAGCAACAGCTATAATTAAAATGTCTTAATGTAGCAATTTATTCTCTGAAAACCAAGAATTGTCAGCCTTTTATGTGATGGATTTTTTTAAGACTAAAAATGCACTTGTGTAGTGCAGACCGCTACTAAGAGTCATAGTTCCAGGCAGAGATTCCAGGTCACTTCCAAAAACAAATAATTTGTTCTTTCTCTCTAAAAATCTGTCTTTAATTGTTTGAACTATCTAACAAACTATCAACATGTGGAAGATTCTAGCCAAGGGAGCAACACTGAAAGAAGGTTTTTGGTGAATCCAGGATTCGTGGAACCGTAGTTACTTACATAACTTTATTTATTTTTTTCAGTTTAAAAATCCAGAATGAGGAAAAAAAGAGAATCTAAAGAGCCGTGGAAATTATAGCCTTTATCTCATCCAATGCAAGTGTGACCAAATACTACTTGAATAAAAGAGAAATCAAATGCAATGCTTTTGACATTGCAAAAACTATTCATAGTAAAATGATAAAATGTCTCTTTCTTGCTCAGGGTTCACACTCACCCTGGTGACGTCACGCTCCATTTTCCTCTGGCGTGAGGTCAGGAGGCCGTCTGCGGACATGGCGTTGGTGCTTTTGACCGTGTTGATGATGGAGACATAGGACGTGAGCATGATGACCACCGGGATGAAGAAGCAGGAGATCAGAGTGGAGATGATGTAGGACTTGTGGATGGTGGAGTAGTTGGCTTTGGACCAGTCCACCTCACATGTGCCATAGCCCCGGTCTGAAGGGACAGGGAAAACGGGTCAATACAGACAGTACGCTTTCACATGTGGGTTCTTACTCATAGATTTTATTATTGCTTATAGTGGTGAGCTTTTTTCAATTCAATTCTATTTATTCTTGTTTAGCCCTAAATCACAACATTACTGTAGTTATCTTGGAAAACTTTACACAACCGTTGAATTTGCCAACACAGATCAATCAAACCATTCAAGGAATAAAACAGAAAACACATTGGTATTGGTCCATAAGGGGCAGATGACCAATGTCCATAAATGTTGATAAATGTTTTTAAATGTTGTTAAATGTTGTTGAATGTTATTGAATGTTGAGTGTCCTAGATCATCACCACTGTTCTTTTAGTTAGACCCGCCTGCATCGGCAAGGAAAAACTCTAAAGTGAGAAACCTTGGGGAGGCCCACATTGAGAGAGGGATCCGCTCCCACAGACGGACAGGCTACAGATCCAGGACTCATCCAGGACTCATTTGAACTCCCTAGACTCCCAGAATTATAAAACTACAAGGACTCTCAGAACTCCCATTCAAACCAATGTAATTCTGAGAAATTCCCCTCAAAAATGTTTTGGGTTGAATCATATTGTTTTTGGTTATTGTCATTCAACAATGATATTCTATTATATTTTCAAGAATCTGGCATTATTATTACTTTAAAGTCATGAAAGTTATCCATTATTTCAAATGTATCGGAAAAAAAGCAGATATTTTCTGTTCAAAAGTTGCCAATAGTAAAGACACAACAGTATGATTCCTTGCTGGATACGTGTCTCTATGGCTCTGTTCTCAGTTGGCAGCTTTTCCCCCTGAATTTGTCTGTTTTTGCTATTTATCTGGACAGTTATGGAGGACATAACATACGGAGAAATAGATACTGTATTTTATCATGCATGGGATCATTTGTTTATGTTATTAACTCTATCATTTTGTCTTATAGTGTTTTGGTCATCACAATCCTACCATGGAAATTTCACAATGTTCTAGTCCAATTGTATTCCATTCCATCCTATTCCACCGAGTTATGTGTATGAAATATTATGACATCCATCAGTTTTACAGTGATAAAGTTGGACAAACCTGTGTAGCTTCCCCATCCAAACAGCGGAGCAGCCGACCAAAACGCCGCTCCGGTCCAAATGCAGACAAGAGACACAGCTATGGAGCTCATACTGATGCATTGAGCTGAAAGACAGAAAAATGACAATATTTACCATTTGTGGAACAGTTGTCTACTTGTGTCCATTTGTGCAAAGGTCAGCAATGTTATGACTTTGGCAAAGAGAGGAGAGGAAAAGTGAGAGGCAAGTCAAATTCCAAGCAAGTAATAAAATGTCAGAGTGTGATATTTTTGAACAATGAAAGCAAACATCTCACATTGAATAGATTATTGTTGAAAAAAGGAGGCGTTTGTGAGAAAATGAGGTCAAATATTTCACGTCTGAGCAGTTCTCACTTACATCTTGAAATGTAATGTCAAAAGTAATCTATCAGATTCCTGGTGTGAAATATCAGTGGACTGGTACAGTTGGTAATGATTATATTGGAAAGAGACAGCGCTAAGAATGAGGTGTTTTGTACTTTTTTCTGAGGTTGGAGTATAGAGCATATTCCCTGCGTGAGTTCTTCCGTGGCCCACATTCATATTTATAAACTTGACTTATGTTACCTTGAAAATCTTGCATCACTTTGTATACAGGTGAAACACTTTTTTGTGTGTAGTCCAAGTGTGAAACCAAAACTTTATTATAATCTTTTCCATCCATTTACTTTTGCTCTATCCAAAAATTGCAGTGGCAGCAGTCTAACCCGAGACACCCAGTTTTTTTTCATGTGTATATATATATTTTTTTGTATTGTATGTTTTTATGCATGCCTTTTTAATCACAGTTTGAGATTTCCTAAAGATGAGCCAGAGGAAGTGAGCATGGATGGGATTTATCTACTTTATGCTTGAGTGGCCTGATTGAATATTACAGATGGTCGCTACTACTACTGCTACTGCAATACTGCTGCTACTGCTACTACAATACTGCTGCTACTGCTGCTGCTGCTACTGCTGCTACTGCTACTGCTACTACTGCTACTGCTGCTGCTGCTGCTGCTGCTAATAATGATAGTACGTTTGTATATTGCACCTCAAGCAACTGTGCTACTTATAAAAGTGTGTTTTTATCTACTCCACCCCTCCCCTCTAGACATAATTCCCAAAAATAAATCAATTAAATTTAATGTGAATTGAAATCAAACATCAAAAACTTTACTCTCCTATTTGGATTCAAGCTAATTACAGTCTTTCCACTGGTGCTAGCACATGTCCCATTGATGTAAAACAGATAAAACTCTCTGTTTATAATGTTTTATACGACCTTAGTTTTATGAAAAACCTCAAACACTGTAAAACGTCTAGTGCCACAGTGACGACAACATAGGCTTATCTCCATTTCCATGTAATTAGGACATTCCTTCACCTCAATTACAGACCAAAATAGATGATGTCTCCTCAGCGTGTGTTAATACTATACTCTGCAAACGTAAACAAAATTGCTACCAAGAAAAAGTAGTTATTTTTACAGCTGTGTAGTAACAAGGCCCCATTAGCGTTTAAAACCAAGATAAACAAGCAGCCATCACATTATGACCAGTGATCAAAGGGAAAGAAACAGATTGTCAAAGACTTTTCACGGAACAAAACATTTTACTCAACATGGAAGAGATTTTTCCTAAAGACAAGCAATTTTTTGACCAATTTTGTAACTTACACTGTTTCTGTATACATTAGACAAGAAATAATGTTGATCATAACAGTGGCAGTTCCTCATATTCAAAGTTAGTATGTTAGCATTATGAGTAAAGAGGTCTGGCTTTAGTCCATTTGGAGACTTGGATCCAGATTTAGATCCATATAGAGAAGTGCTTTAATAAAGACAATGTCATGACATATCGACGACTTGCATAGCACAATAATGACAGCATACATAGCCTGGCCTTAGCATTCGTAAACTCTGGTCAATTATTATTTCCCTACATGTACGAAATGAAATTTGTACGATGGTGTGGTAATACCAGGCTACTTACATACAGGTGAAACTAAGAACATTTGAATATAATTCAAAATTGTCCAGATTTCATTTTAGAATGATTTTTTTTTCACTAACTACCTATATTAGGGACATTTTTCAATCCAACCCATTTTAGGAAAAGTAAAAAGTGCAAATTGAAACCAGTGGTTGTGATAAGCATAAACACTGCATTAAAAAAAGAAAAATTGGGGACAATTATACATGATTTGACTGCTCTGAGAGAATAATTCCCAATGGAACAAGCAGATGTTTTCCAAGTGCAGTAGCGTTTTGTTCCTCATTCCATGTTTTTAATCTTCTTTCACAGTGTCATTTGTGTGTGTTTTTAGTGTTTTGTTGTTCATTGCGCACACCGGGCGTTTGTGGAATGAGGTTTTTAACTGAAAATGGCAAATAAACTGAATTCGAATGAGAAGCTCCTTGTCAAAACAAGACATACTGTATCATGATCTTACCATTGGCCAATCTTTTCAAAGACAGTCAAACTATGAAAAAAAGTGTTTAATTGGAGCACTCATTTCTTTTTTGCAGTGTAAACCGAGCGCACAGGCAGCTCACTGCTTGTCATCAGCTCCATACATCATACACTCCCTACAGCAGGAGCAGAGACTTGACGAGAACTAGGCAAATATTACGAATCAGCTCCAGTCTCTTGTCTCTCAGGGCTGCTTCAATTCATTATTCATCCGTTTGATTGACAAAATATGATAAATTGTTTCTCACCTTTGTTTGGATGGCACCCTTTAATATATCTGGTGATGCTTATGACGGTCAAAGTGTTGATGCTAGTGAGGCCAAACAGCAGCGTGAAAAAGCCGTCGACCTGGAAGGAAGAAAACAAAGAACCAAAAAGTGAGTTGCTTTGGCCTCGGGGACAGACCCACGGCGGTAAACAGCTTTTCAATATTTGGTTTTGTTTTGGTTTTGGCGTCTTCAGATCAAAGCAGGACCAGAGAAGAGGGTTTCCTGTGAGTGAGTGGCAGACGAGATGCAGACACTAAACGTTTCCTTAAAGCTCAAGGCTGTGTGACCCCAGCTGCAGTCGGGCTGATTGTACAGATCCTGTTACATTTCTACTGTAGCTTGAGGAACGCATACATATTCAAGCCAAAATACACCCTGGAACGTAATCAACCTGAAGGCCCGTCACTATTTATTTGGTGTTATTTAACATTTTAACTGGACGCACTGTAAAAACTATTTCAGTGATTAATGTTTGGAATGTTGATTCAAAGTTACAGTATAGTTATGCAGGACCCACATCATGACCACACTCTAATTTAGTCTTGCTGAATTGATTGGTTCTATAATTTTAAACCTACATCACAGAAATGGGTGAATATTCCCTGATTACACTACTACACACATATGCATTTTAATAGCCTGGTCGTACCACACCATAGTACAGTACAAATGACATTTCATACTAAGGTCTGGATTTGCTCCATTGAGCTCCGTTAACAGGTGGGAGGGGTTAACTCCTTTTGCAGATTGAAACGATTGGATCTGAGTTTACTGTGACGTATGTAATGAGCCCGAGTGAGTTGTTAGCATTTAGCATTTAGCATTTAGCCTAGCCATCTCCTTTGCCGCTAACGGAGCCCGTGAGGAGTAGCGCCACAATTTTCCCAGCGATTACATTTGCTAAACATTCCTCTTGCTCCGGCTTCAATTTCTTGATATAACCAGACCGGATTACTTTACTATCGCATTTTTTGCCATTGCCAAACTACAACCTGCCTGTTCGACGCAAACTCTTGACATCACCCACAACTTTTTATTTTTTTTTATATATTTTATTTTCAATCAATATGGCATTACAAATCGTTATTATAACCTTTTACACAGACTGAGCAAGTGTACATTACAAAAGTGTACAATGGACGTACAACATGAGGTAGAACAAAAAAAAGAAAAAAAAAAAAAGAAACAATCACAAGAGGTCTGTTATCATACTTGAGATTGTATGAAATTAATAAAGATAGTAGCTGCTTTAGTTTTTACATGACATAAGGCTTTCCTAAATTGCAAAAATTCATTCAAATAAATTTGGAAGAGTGGTTTAACCTTCAAAAATTTACATTTGTGAATATATTGTTTAAGTAATAGTATACAAGTATTGTAAAAAAGTTCTTTCTTGCTGTCTTTCAAAAATACTCCAAATTTGACATCTTTGTACAGTATATTGGGTGCATCATTAACATATTCTGATATCCAATGTTGAAATGAATTCCATAAAGTTCTGGTATAATGACAATCAAAAAATAAATGCTCCACAGATTCAATATCACATTCACAAAATGAACACGAATTTAAATCAATATTGAAACGTTGTCTCAGAAATTCATTACTGGGATAAATATCATTTAAAATTTTGAAATGGGTTTCTTTAGCTTTAGGATAAATTGGGAGGGAGAGATATTTGGTTCTGATTTTTATTTGTATATCTTTTGGAAAATCTTTGAGGGTGTAAAGTCTTTTTAGTGAAATTGGGTGAAGTTTATTTGTTATTGCACTTCTTATTATTTTGTTTGAACATTTTCCGTTTTTAAGTTCTATGTCATCTATTATAAGCAAAGGAAATCTAGGTATTACGACGTCATACATCAATAAACCTTTCACTAAATTTAACATTTCTAAAGGAATAGCCTTAATTATAGTATTATACTGTTTTTTGGTACATTTAAGATTGTATTTCTCTGTAAGAGCAGAGTAATTAAGGACATTCCCATCCGAATCCATAAGATGTGAAATAGACCAAATACCTTTTTTCACCCAGTCATCATAATAGATAGATTTTTTTTTTTAACAATATGCATCGATTGTTCCAAATAGGCATGTTGTGTGGAGTAAAATTATGAGTGTAGGACATTTTCCAATTTAAGAGAACCTGTTGATGAAATTTAGATAACTTAAGGGGCAATTTAGAAAGAGCAAAGTCACAGGCTAATAGGAATTCAATGCTGCCACATTCTAAAAATATGATTGTTTATAAAATTTTGCAACCATTTTAATTTTAGCGTTCCATTCATAGCTTCAAAATCAATTATGTTTAGACCACCTTCAGCAATGGGTTTAACTGCATCATTTTTTCTAATGTAGTGATGTTTATTTTTCCATGTAAAATTAAAAATGTTTTTGTTTATTTTATTAATCAGATGATTAGGGACAGCTAGAGAAAATGCGGGGTAAATAAATCTTGATAAAGCTTGACTTTTGGAAATTAAAATTCTACCAAAGATTGATAACTCTCTTTGTAACCAAGAATTTAAGATAGGTTGTGTTTTGGTTATATTGTTTTCAATGTTTAGGAGTTCCCTTCTTTTCCAATCTTTCGACAAAATAATTCCCAAGTATTTTACTTCAGTTTTCACAGGGATTCCATGTAAATCTGAATTGGGGTGCTCATGAAGGGCCATGAGCACCTTCATGAGCACTCAGCTCACATTTTTTAAGATTTAATTGTAACCCAGAAGCTCTGGAAAACATCTCCACTTTCGTGATTACTAGAGGAATTTGATCTGCATTTTTTATAAAAATTGTCGTGTCATCGGCTAATTGTGTGATAATTAGAGGCCTGCCCAGAACATTTAATGGTTTCAAATCTGTACTGTTTTTGATATAAATCGATAATATTTCTACAACTAAAATAAAAATCAGAGGTGAGCACGGGCATCCTTGCTTTACCCCTCTATTTATCTTGAATCTTTTGGTTGTACCCGCAGGTAAAGACACTGAACTGTTTATATCTGTATACAACATGTTAATCATGTCAATGAACTTATCACCAAAGCCGAAAAATTCAAGAGTCTTCAAAATAAATGGATGCTCAACCAGATCAAAAGCTTTATAGAAATCAAGGAATAAAATGTAACCTTGATCTTCAATTAAATAGTTGTAATCCAATAAATCCAAAACTAATCTAATGTTATTGTGTATTGATCTATCTTTAATAAAGCCCGACTGAGTTTCACTAACAAATGAAGCTCAAGCGGATGTTCAGACTGAAAGACCGAGTGCCTGCCAGCCTCGAGCCTCAGCCAATCACACAGCTCTGCCAGCCTCGAGCCTCAGCCAATCACACAGCCAGGCCAGCCTCCTGCCAACCCTCTCAGAGCAAAGCGGGCAGTTTAAAAGGCAGCCACTTCCTGACAAACAACGCTTCCTGAGGCTCTTAAACACCCACCACCTCCCCAGCACCCCCTCTGGCTCTTGGCTCCCGCTCTGGCTCCCGCTCTGGCTCCCGCTCTAGGCTCCCACTCCGGCTCCTGCTCCGCCTACGCCCCATTCACACCATACTCTAGCCACCACCAGTGATTGACCCCGGGGGATCTGAGATCATCTCAGCTGCAATCGATCTCATAGCTGCAAGTGTCACTGCCGGGGTCAATGCGCCAAACAAATAAATCATTTTAATGTATTTATCGTGTCTTTGGTCTCTTCAGATTGAACATCGCCTATCCCAGCCTTCAATCTATTGGCTAAAATTTGAGTGAATAGTTTATAATCTACATTTAATAAGGATATGGGTCTTAGATTTTCAATATACCTTTTATCTTTTCCTGGCTTTGGTAAGAGAGTAATGACCCCTTGCTTCATCGTTGTTGTGAGATTATTATTCTCAATACATTCATTGAAAACTGAAAATAACATTTGTTTTATATCTTTCCAGAAAAATTTATAAAAATTGGATGTTAAACCATCTTGACCAGGGGCTTTTCCCAAAGCCATACGCTCAATAGCAGCATCAAGTTCTTTTAGTTGTATTTCAGCATCACATAACAATTTAAAACCCTGTTCAACTTGAGGAATTTTGTGTCTTATATTCTCGAGAAAATTTTCAGAACTTTCAGGAATGTAATTGGATGAGTATAAATTTGAATAAAATTTGTAAGTCTCTTCAGCTATTATATTTGCTTGGTGACATTCTTTGTCATTAATCATTAATACATCCAACTTATTCTTTTCCTGTCTTCTTTCATCACCCACAACTAACTACAAAACCTGCCTTCCGCGCGCTCTGAATGGTCGGTCGCAGTGTTGCCAACTCCTCAGTAAGGAAAGTAGCTATTGGCTGTCCCAAAAGTCGCTAGAAGTCGCTAAATGACGCCATCGCCTAATTTGCATAATTGGCAATTTGCAAATAACTGTAACGGACGCTGTAGGAGAGAGGAATAACGTCGTGGGAGAGACAAAAGTGAGTAAAAAACACCCTAAATATGTTTAGAACTACAAATGTACAAAAATAATTTCAACATTAACAACATTTAATGATTTTAATGCTTTGTCTAGATCTGTCGCTAGTCGCTTTTTGGAAAAAAAGCTAACACAGGGACTAGACTCAGACGTTACATGCAGTGAAATGATGATTGAACGGAGTGTACGGATGGCTAAGGCCAGGCTAGTATTTTAAGGTCTATTTGAGTTTATTCGTTTTCCTAGGATCAAGTAACTATATATTTAACAAAAATCTATATATTATTAGTTTTGCATAATGATGAATAAATTTAAAGATATAAATAAAATTAAGATTGAGAATTATCACTTGAACTTGAACCTGTACAAGTAAGTCTAGTTTATGAGCTGCATAAACATAAATAATTGGATGAAATAAAATGCATATAAACAGACATCTCGGTCTGAAATATTGTCAAATATGTCCTCTAGCTACAATCCCCAACATGCTTTGTTATTGGCAATAAATTTGAACAAAAATTGCTTTGGGGTGACACTTAATTTACTGTATATGGCGCTAAAATAGATCTGGCTTTACAAAAAACTACTTGGGAAAGGGGAAATTGGAACCCTACAATCTTTCTACTGGCATCTGTTTTTGCAAATTAACTCATGTATTGGTTTAGTTCAGACAAGTCCAACGTTCAGCCCTTCTTTTAACTCCATTGAGATTATACACAGTGTCATCCAGCCAGCTTCAGCCCGCCATAATAAGCATGCTAAATTGAAATAATTGAGTTTGAATTTAATTGAATTGCAATCGTGGCACAACATCCCATAAATGGACTAATGTAGCTGGTCACAAAGTAATAAACATTAGTTATTCAGCCAACTTCCACTCCGTCAAATGGTGATATGGACTATTTGTCATACCTCATTTTAAAGTTAAGAACAACCTGAATCTAGTCAGAAAAGTTTTACAATCTGGGCTGTTGGCCACTGGACAAGTCTGGTAAACAAAACTCACCCTCTTACCAAAAAGTTTGAACGCTTACTAAAAAGTTAGATAATGCAAAAATCCTGGCCACTTGTCATTTAAGCAAAACTTTTATATTCCTCGGAATGAAACTGAACTGTTTTGCAGGGCTTGGTGAGTAAAGGAGGTGGTATTTGCTGAATAGTAGAATCTTTAGGCATGCAATAACTTGATATGGCATTAATCTCAGCTGCCAGTAAAAACAATAGTGAAAGCACCATTACATGATATTTCCATAATGCAAGTCACATCCCATCCACGTAATCCTCCATAACCCTGTACCTCAGATGAACTAAGAAACACATCAGGTCTTTTATTTTTCAATGACAGATAATTATCGCTAAACCACTGTTTTTGTCAATGGGTTTCGGAGGCTCTCCCAGAGGGCAACCTCCGCTGTGAGGCTTCCAGGTGACTGCAGAGATCACTCCAGGTCCATCGCTGCTTACACTGAGCCTGCTCACCGCTAATCCTATTACTGTCACTCATCACACTTCCTGAAGATTACGCCCCTGTCTGTCTGGGTACTTGGTTCAATCGTTTTAGTATTTTTTGCAAACTTTTTTCTATTGAGATTAAGTCGAAGTTGCAAGTTCAATCGTGGACAAAGGATGAAATGTAAATGGGCAAAATAAATGTGAAAAAAGGTTCACACAATGTACTAATAACTTTTCACAGGTATTGAGGCCGCTCTGCTTGTGTGACATTGATTGTATACAAGTGGACAATGCTAACCACCTAGCTCAATGAATAGGGCAATAGGGAAGTGCTCACGAACAATGTTTTGTTATATCTCTCTGGCTCATATTAATTTGAATTGATTGAATTGAAAAGTAAACTCCTTTAGCTCTGTAGTGCCCCCGAACTGTTTTACAATTCTTACGATTAGCTTGCAGCATTTATGGTTCTATGTTCATATGGCAACCAGGGCATATTAAACATCCTTTTAACGCTGAATTTGTAACAAAATACAACAATTTTATTTAATATTATCAAAGATTTTAACCTGACATGTGATTAGCGTTACATAAAATAAATAATTGGCCTCCGTTTTAAAAAAGCTTTCTTCTCCTTTTGTCCAGTTTTGCTTCAATCCAAACAAACAGTTACTGAACACAACAAACTCTTATGAATGCACTAGAAAGTAATACAAGTAATCATATTGTCAAAATATCTTCATGATATAAAACAATCTAACTTTTCACGAAGAAAACAACTTTCCCTTGGCAGCTGTTACTATTTTGCCGGCCCCTGAACAAAATTAATTTGACATTTCTACAATAGGGTTTTGTACAACCACTAACAAAAAAGATTTGTGTTATCATTCATAATCTCCAAAATATGACCAAAACAATGAAGTCTATGTCTGGGTGTTTAAACTTTCAAGCACAAGTTGAAGTGCCTTTAGTCAATGTGAAATACAAGGCATCTCCCTCCATCACTGGTCTATTTCTGTGGTACTCCTCATACACCGTCTGTCATAGAGATAAGAACAAACTAAACTCTGAAATTAGATTGTATCTTGTCGTTTCGCCTTCTCCAGTGACACACAAAATATTATCATTCAAAACTCAAAACACAAAGGTTCCTGCCTCATTAACCTGCGGCTCACCCCTTCTTCCTGAACTGTAGATTTCTGTCACATTGGGCCCTCCCAGTGTTGACATACGGCCCCCCGCCAGAGCACAGCGTCCCAGGGGAGAAGGGCGTACCGCTGGCCTAATATTTCCCCACCACGTCCCACTAGGATCCGGGCTAAAACAGAAGTTCATTTACAGTAGATCGCACTCATTCACACAGGGTTTCCCTCCAGAGGCTCCTGAAGTGTTTGGGTATAACTCAACACTGAGGCTGCACTGGGGATATAGAGGCTTTCCACAGCTATCTGGCAAGAAGCAGGAAAAATATCCACCAAGCATGAAGTATCTGTGATAATATTTACAGAGAGAATTATGAGTGGATGAAATTGAGGCGAGAAACTGAGACGAGACATGCATGTAATATGGGGGCTCTGTCACATCTTTAAATCTTCTTTTTTAGACAGAAATGTGCAAAAGAGATGACCATTTTCACTCGGCCAATCAGCTCTCAGCCTAAAGCGTCAAATAGTGAATACAGCATGCCGAGGTCTGATTTGTTCACCCTTCACTTTTACAAGACATTAAAAGTTTTTCCATCACATTACATGTAAATTAGGTGTTTTGTCTGAGAGAAAGTTAAACATTTGTAGCGATCACAAATATATTGATTTGAAAAGGGAAAGAAACAGCATTAATTTGCTTAAATCAAGGCTTCCCCTGTATGATCTCATATTATACCATGTTTTGTAAATTCTACAGCATCATACAGAATGACGATATACATTTGAATTCTATCTAATTTCTATCATTGTTTTAGATCACAGAGAATAGTAATAATACTAATAAGACTAATTTTCAGGTCACTCGTCACTTACTTATTGTAAAGATGCATTAGTTTCCACATACCTAAAAATAGGCCTGTGCCAAAAATCAAAAGATTGTATACACAGTTTTGATCTCAACTTTTTGCATTACAATCTTGTGACACAAATCATGGGTCTGAAAAGGAATGTACTTCTCTTCATCTGCATACTGTATATACATATGGTCGTCCCCGGCAGGGACTCATGGACTACACCCCCTTCACCACCCTGGAGCCTCTTCAGTCCTGCCGATGCAGGAGGGTCTAAGGACAGTGATGATCCGGGACGTTTAAGGACATTTGCCCTCTGGGCAAATGGCTCCTGTGTTCGAACAGTTTGATTCTCTGATCTGTTGTTTAGAAAACAACAACTTTGACGACAGCAGTCATCAGCTCCCATTGATGTCTGCTGTTGTTGTGTCCTTCGGCAAGACACTTAATCCCACTTTGCCTGAAGCTCCCACTGAAAGATCAAGGCTCCTGTGGACTCACCACCTGCAGGATCAGTGAGGGGCTGGTGCTCTGTGTACTGGGTGCAGCTCTGACTGCCACCCCCCCAACCCAGAAATAGATTAAGGGGAAGAAAATGGATGGATGGATGGATGTAAAGTCCTTTGAGACGATTGCTTTTGAGAATAAAGGCTATACAAAAATAAACTTGATTTATGAAGTTATCTGTTTGTTCCCTGCCTGTGTGCAAGTACAGTATAAAACAAATAATTATAAAGAAAACAACGTCACTGCTCCTAAACCTTACCTAACCATAAACATCCACGTCATCCCAATACTTAACTTAATCACTACAATTGACCAATCAGAGCAGAGCGACCTCCACTCCCTGGTTCCATAATAACTTCCTGAAAGTGACTGAGTGTTTGAGGAGTTTTCCCCCCGAGTTAATCTGATTACAGTTGATCCTGAAGACCACATGACACAATATAATCTCCCACATTCACAGCCACTCGACAGTCCCACTCATCAATCCCATCAGTCCCTCTACCCACTTCACTGAATGCAATAATTCTTGCAATAGTCAATTACAGCAGGAGACAAATAATATGTAATTACTGACTGTATAGAATAACAAGACAATATCAGGAAAAATGTAGAGTAGTGTCTTAAGCATTTCAATATACAGTATTTCTACCTTATAAAGCCACTTTTCTATCGCACAATGATGAACTTTAGCATAAACACATATCCAGTCATTTTGTCGTATTGTGCTCTTTCCCAAAAAAAGGTTAAATAAGTTAGCAATCAGCAAAGTTTTTTCTTTGAGTACCACGGCCTGCGCAACGCTGCCAAATCATCCATGTTTTACAGAATCATTAAAGACAATGGGGGAGCCAGGATGGTGACAACTATCAGGGTTTAAGCTGGGGTATGAAAAATCCAATGTGTTATCACTAGTTTTCACTGGGATGTGTTTTGGCCTCTGTCTATATATCTGGTTTTTCATGTTTTCTAATAAAATAACTGCAGCATGATGTGGTCTGGTTTTACTTTTGCAAGACTCTTTTGGAAGAGATAAACACCATGTAAAAACAAAAAAATAAAGTGAGGTACTCCAGCTTTAAAAGACGGTTTTGATACTTTTACTAAGATTTTTATTTGTAACTGCATAAAAACCTTGAAAACAAGATTTAGTCCCCTCGTAAGCCTCCTCACCTGACACGTCCATATCCAGGTGATGAGGTATTTGTTGTCTTTGAAGATGTTAAATATCTCGAAGATGCCTCTGGAGTATCCGAACACAGAGATGCTAGCGTCAGAAATGGCTAAGTTGAGGGTGAGGATGTCTGTGGGCTGCAGCGTGGCTCTCTGTCTGTACAGGACGAAGATCACCAAACTGTTCCCAAACCACGACAGCCATCCTGCGCACAGGAGAAACATAATTACAACCTGTTAGTATTGATTATTTCAAATAATTGGAAGTGGACAGGGCAGGGATGACAAATAACTTATGTTCTGACTCTATCAATGTAAGTCAAATATATAGTGCCCTCAAAAATAATACTCAACAAAAAGATAAAAGTACATTTTTGATTTGGGGAAATCTACAGACGTTGCCATAATGTTCCCAAAAACTTACAAAGTACAAGTTACCAACATACAAATTAAAATAGAGCTCAGTAAAAAGTAAAAGTTTCCAACGTACAGTAGTTACAATCCCAAGTCACAATGAACAAGATACAGTATAATCAAGATAAGATAAACCTTTATTATTCTCACAGTGGAGAAATTTCAGTGTCATCGTTGCGCACGTTACAGCAGAGAAAGGAAATAAGAGCAATCATATTGGGCAGCAAATGGAGAATGTGCCTAGGTATATCTGTGTCTGTTATTTTGTTCTAGAAAATTGTGTTTGTGCAGGTTTGAAATACAAACTAATGGATTCAATACAACACAGTACGACACATTTCCTCAACATAAATGCAAAACTTTTTCTCACATTAACTCATACACATTACTTGACTGAATTGCTGATCTGAGTAGAAAATGATAAACATAAAGAGAAAAATCAAAGAACCCTCTGTAATTCAACAGCCACGGCTTCAGTTCGATGTGACCTATTGAAGAAGCTAGACTACTACAAAGTCTGTGAGATAACTGGCACAGGAAGTAATGAAAATCCCTGGTCTTTTTATACCTCGGACTCACTTACAGAACCCCTGGAGTTCAGATCAGACTGACAGACGTGCTGCCAACGTCTGACCCACCGGGGGGTTAATCTAAAATTAATCAGATGATCCACATGTTAAAGGTAAATGTATGTATAATGTAAAAAATGGGAATTATTTTTCAACTTTATCCATTTTTGACCGTATACCAAGACAGAAAACATTTATAGGGCAATAAAAGTGGGCTTGTGCTTTACAATGCCCAAAGGTCTGATGGATGTGAGACACTGGAGTAGTGCTGTGCCAAAAAAAATTTTCTCAACATGTTTCTATCTCGATCATCGACGTGTTGGTTACAAATGAGGGACACCGGTCATCGGCTGAAGAGCAGAACTGCAGCATGTCTTTACCTCTTTACCTTCATTCGCCTTTCACAATGTTTAGCTTATTGTATACAATTTAATTTAATACTATAAGTGTTGAAACTTGCCTGTGTTATATATTAAATAAAACAAGAAATATATATGCAATTTTTACAATTGTTTTTCTTGCTGAGCCCTATGCTGGAGATTGATCAGCAGTGACTGTGGTAAACTGGAGTCATGTCTTTGAGCAAGACATTTATTGTATTGCAATTGGCACAGATGAAATCTCACATCCTACCTCTGGGGAACCATTGACGACTAAAGCGTGAATAAATAGTTAAAATACATTTGAGGCATTGGAAACATCTTCTTTAAGTCTGGGCGTCTCTGTGACTGCTGCCCCCAGAACCCATCCGCGGATAAAGCAGAAGAAAAAAGATGAATGGATTGTAAACATATATTTTGCATAAGGGATTTTGACAGTATGCACAATCTGATATCACCAAGTAAATAAAATTTCAGGATCACTGTTACATGTTGTTCCTGGACTCATAACACTAACTTGAATCCTATTCCTAGTCCTAACCCTAAACCTGACCCTATTCCTTACACTAACCATAGTGAACCCAAGCCCTAACCTCTGACCTCTGACTACTCTTACCCTGACGCAATGACACATGGATCCTGGAAAACAACGTTGACATTGAATCTGAACTGTCGATTATTTGATGATATCAGATCACCCTCGACACTACATTTACCATAAAATGTTGAGACTTTCTCCAGTTCAAATCCATGTAATAAACAAAGTACAAATAACACAACTGAAGGCACCATATTCTAGCAAAGTGCTCAGCGGGCTAAACTCACCCAGTATTAGAAGGTAGATGCCGATGATAGTCTCCCCTTGCTCAGACAGCTGGGGCTCAGAGTGCAGAGAGCTCAGGTTGTTGTTCCTCCATGGGATGCTGGCCACCTTTATGGGGAATCCTTTCAGTGTAATTTCCATCGTCTGTGACTTTATGAATCCAAGGCATGAATCCTCCTCGGCCCCCTTCCCTCTCCTCTCTGCTTTCAGTAGCTACTCCAATGTAAAAGCAGTGAGGATAGTGAGGACAACGAGCCAGTTCATAGTAAATCCTTCTTAGCAACGGCCACTAATGCCCATACTGTCCAATTGATGGCTTTGTTAATCCAATCTGTAGCTTATCTTGTAAGTGGGTTCAGTTATTGAAGGGGGCTTCTAGTTAACAACAAAAGGATCGTATTTCAATTAAACCAGTCAAAGTATTAGATTAAAGCAGACTAATTGTGTCCACACAGGAAGATAATCCAGCCAGAATAAGATCCAACATTTGAATAAATTGATTTTTGGCATCTAAACATTTCTACAAAAAAATCATATGAAATGTATCACCCATGAGATGTATCTAAGGTTAAGGTCTTTTCAATGATCAGATTGATGGATTGTCCTGAGCCACTGTTTTACAGGCAGCAGAAACCTACACAGAATCAGTGAGAACTAAAAATCTCAGGATCAACTCCAAGACCTTCTTGCGGAGAGGCAAGAGCTCTGTGTGGACGGATTAAGGCAGAATCTGTAAATACTGCCACAAAATGCTGAAAACTTGAAGTAAACCAATATCTGTTTACTTTTTAATTTTGTGACATCTGTATCTCTCCTTCCACTACAAAGAACATGTTCATTTATCATTTATAGAGACAAGTTTGGGAACCAAGCCTTCTTCATTAGTCTAATCACCCTTACAGAAAAAAAGCATTGAAAATCGTAGACAGAGACAGGATTGCACATGGACAATATCAGAGCGTTTGGAGGGTTAGTCAATCAATCAATCAATCAAATTTTATTTATAAAGGGCTTTTCATACATAAGATGCAACACAAAGTGCTTTACAGTTTGGTTAAAAACAATCCCGCCGACCCAAGACCCCTCCCCCAGACCACCCAACAGACCCACCCCAAACCACAGACAAACACACACACGCACACACACACACACACATCAGTAAAACAATAAAAACATGATGAGAGACTTGGCAGGGTTCAGATGCAACCAGCTGAAAAAGCGTCATCCAAGGAGCCGTCTGCACCAGGAGCAGAGAGCCGCCTGTAGCCACAGGGGACGACACAGGATCTAGAGGAGACCCGAAACCGAGGCCCCAGGCCCCCACCAGGCCCAAGAGTCCGACCCCCGCAGCCACACCGACCACTGCTCCCGGTGCAGAGGGCTCCTCCAGAGGAAACACTGGGTACACTAAAAACAATACAATAAGTAAAACACTAAAATGTGAGACTAAAAGGAACACACAATACATGAATAATAGCAATAGCAATATAATAAATAATAAATAATAAAAGATAAATAGAATGGAATAATAAAAACTAATCAAAAGCTACTCTAAAAAGGTGCGTCTTGAGCCTACTTTTAAAAATATGAACGTTCTCTGCGGCCCTGAGCTCCTCCGGCAGACTGTTCCAGAGACGGGGGCCGTAGTGCTGGAAAGATGCCTCGCCGTGAGTGTGTGTCCTGACTTTGGGGATGGTTAGGAGTCTGCTGCCGGAGGAGCGCAGGAGCCGGGAAGGTTCATAGGATAAAAGCAAATCTGAAAGATAAGAAGGCCCAAGACCATTAAGACATTTAAAAACCATTAAAAGAACCTTAAAATCGATTCTGAAACACACGGGGAGCCAATGCAGCGATTGTAAAACCGGTGTAATGTGGTCCCGCCCCCTGGTCTTAGTCAGGACACGTGCGGCCGAGTTTTTGAAGACAAGTTTGGTGTCCCTGGGCCCTGTTCTGTGGGTGAATAAACTTTTCATGCATCAGAAAAAAGTCTCAACTTTATTTAGTGCAAATAAAGTGTTGAGACAAAGTATATGAATCCCCACTAAAAGGCACAGCTTCCAACTACAGTAAGAAATGGCACATAGCATCACACAGTCTAAAGTGGATAATAGAAAACAGTGCTGTCTTTGCCTCTCCAGCTGAAGCATGTTTTTGGCTCCTCCTGTACAGATGTATTGGCCGATGATGAGAGAGAATCTTCAGGGCAAAGGGAGAAGAGACATGGGATGAGAAGGTTGTCCAGGTCAGCCTGTTGTAGCTCCATCTGACATGATAAAAGAGTTTAGGAAATAAAATAAGGAACTCAACCCTGTAACTTCAATATGGTTTCATTGTTGTTGCTTTTTGGTGTGGTTGTAGACTGAATAGATTTCTATGGCCGCCACACCTTGTACTTAACAGCTCACATTACTAGTAAAAAATATGCGTGTGACCGGTCCCATTTTGATAAACAGCTATTGATCAATTGCCAACTATTGCTAACAACAAAATACTAATCAGACGATAGCAGATCTGATTTGATTGCGCTCATTTAGAACATTTTATAGGCTGTAATCAATGTATTTTTTTTAAACAACAAAATATCCAGTCTTGTAGTTTCAACTTCTATGACTATGCCGAACAAAATGTCAATCGCCTCCGAATGAATGAGCCAATGAAAGTCTATTTAAACCAGGAATAAAAAAATAATAGAAATAATAAAAAAAATACGACAATAAATACAAGACAAGCCTTTCATTAGTTTTGCAAATGATTTTCCACCCACTAATCTGTTGATGCTCCTGGATAAGTAAAATGTTCTATGTAAAGTCGGGATCGCAACTATTTTAAAAGCTTCCTCTGCAATGTGATATTTGACCTGTCAGTTTCATTGGTCAGTTTCATTGGTCAAGTTTTGAGACTTGTAAACACTACATAGTACAGTACATGGTCTGGGAATAATTTACATCACTTTAGTCATTCAAAAAATGCCTTTGTACTTGTCCCATAAGCCGCGCACCACTGAATATGAAGCAGTGGATTGTGTGGGCGCCTTCCTCCTGGGATACTTTTTCCTAATCACTTCCACAAAATGATGATTGTGTTGAATTCTCACTTATGGACAACAGCTGGGGAAATGTAAAACAGACTTTGGTATTAAATAAATGTAATCAAATGTATGTGAGGTAATGCAGTGATATCAGTGTGATGTCCTGGCTTTAGGAAACCTGTTGGAGATTCTCCAAACTATGGAATAATCAGAGAGAAAACAGGGAACTCCAAAACAGTGAGTCAAAAGCTTACATTTTTGTTTTTTTAAAAATGTGTGTTGTTGTCTGGGGAAGTGCGCTTTAACGAGTCTCAAAGAGTAGAAACGAAAGAAACGAGGGGTAGAAAATAGTTCAAGTTGTACTGAGACATTTGTAAGGAACTTTGTAGTAGCTGAAATGTCATATTGGGAAAGGACGCTTGAGTTTTGTTGATTTTTCATCAGCTGGAGAAAAGTAGTTTTGTGAATATAACATGAAAATCATACATGCATAAATCAATCATAGTTGACTCTCAACCTACTCTCCCACACTTTCTTATACACTTCTTTCTAGAGGAGGGGGTCCTGAATCGGGGGGACAGATCACCGAGAGGGAGCACCCACACTGAGAGCCTGTTCATACTTGTTGGTCTGGTTCACATTAACTGAACCAATTGTAATTCACTTGTGGCGCATCTATTGCTACATGGTGGATGCTAAGGGGGACTTCTGTATTGAGTATAAAATTATCTGAACGCTGTAAGGGGGGATTGTGTCAATGAAGATAAATGAAAATGGTTGTAAAATAGATAATTCAATCAAAAGAACTCTGATCAGGACGTTTTTTGTGCCCATAAGACTACTTTCTTGACTAAGTAAGTAATGTTTATTTATATAGCGCCTTTCACAGACAAGGGTCACAAAGCAGTTTACAATTGTTATTATTTTTTTGGGCAATTGTCCTCTCACTCCACACAGAGATGGGAGCAGGGTTTAGTGGTAGGGGAAACCGGAGTACCCAGAGGAAACCTACGCAGACACAGGGAGAACATGCAAACTCCATTCAGAAAGGCCCTGGTCCAAACGGGATTCGAACCCAGGACCTTCTTGCTGAGAGGCGAGACTGCTATCCACTCAGCCACCGTGCCGCCCAACTAACATGGATGCCTTTTGATTCAAGACAGACTAGCCACAGTCCAACTAAATTCCAACTAACCCTTTTGGATTAATAAAGACCATTTTAACATCACTAATGGGATTTAGTAGTAATATTAATAGTAAAAGTAAAAGCTGAATGAAAAATATAGTGCAGTGTGGCGATAGGCAGTTGTCTGGCCAAGCACACACATGGAAAAACAGCTGCTTGTTGGTTTATTTCTATCTTCCTTTTTGACATATTGCCCTGGTTCCTGTCTCTCGGTTTCTACAGTGAGGTTCTGTGGCTGCACACTTGCAGCGGCAGTAACCTGAACTCCCCCAGCTCCAGTTTGGGTTTATGTCACAGACCGGACCTTGTTCCTTCGCCACAGAGCAGCTCTGAGCCGCAGGATGTGGAGGGACGGGCCGCTGCCAAAACTCTCCCCCCAAACCAGCAAACCAACTCTGTCCAGTCTCGTGTGGACCAGGATGACGCCCACTGTCACTGTCCTGCAGCGTATACATAAAGTGTGTTCAATCAAGATGGGTCATTTGGGCCCATGCACAACAAACGGCTTAAAATCCACTTGTTTTTACGTTTGTAGGCACTGAAGCAATGGACATGTGTCAGATATGGCAGATGTCAATCACACGACAAAGGCCAGTCTCTCTCACTCCTATTTAAATTGTCATCAACTGTTTACATTTCACCTGTTATAGGGTCCCTGTATATGTGACTGAAATGTCTTACTTTGTCTTAAACAAAGATCTATGGCTAACGTTTAGCTAACTTCCCACAAGTTAGAGGTGAAACTGGCTCAAAGCTCAAAGCCTAATCATAACAAATAAAAGCTGGGCATATGTCACTCTGAATGTAATTACTCTTTATCATCCATCCATTTTCATCCCCTTTATCCACTTCTGGGTCAGGGGGGTGGCAGTCAGAGCTGCAGTACCCAGTACCAGCCCCTCACTGATCCTCCTGCAGGTGGTGAGT